TCTGCCATCAGCATGGCCAGTGGGGGAATGAACCTCAGTTCCTCCTTTATTACATGGGATCATCTTTGCCCTACATGCCTCACTTGGTTATCCTGGGGACCGAGTGAGAACCAGAAAACCAAAATTGTCAGAGGAAGCTAAACCAACACCATCTTTTCTTGTGCTCCCACCGCCTCCTCCCCTGAGGTCCTGGGCCCATGGGATTTCAGGAAAGGGTTGGGGGCTGACATCTTTCCCCCTTCAACCATTGGCCCTTTCCAGGGTATTCCCAATGGGGCGGTCAAGAGTGCTCACATCCAGTTGGAGGGCCCCTCTTTGCCTGCCCACCCGAGCGGGGGCTCGGGAACCCCACCCTCCCTTGGGCCAGGGGCCTCCTGTGCTCTGTACATATCATTTTCTGAAGGCCTGCTCATTATTACCGGTCTATTATTATGGGTATGAATTCTGCCACCAATACTAATAACACAGACCTAGTACCAGACAAATACTTACTGGTGCGGCCGCTCCTCCCACGTCACCCCGAGTCCGTGTGTGCACATCCATACAAGGCCGGCAGTAAGCTAACTGCTTGAATTTACCAAACTGGAGTGAAAAGAGCACTGGACGGCCCTCCCACCCAAGTCCCTCTCTGTTTGACAGATGGGGAAACTGAAGGGATTGTGGAAGGGATTGTTCTCTGCTATGCACGTATCTGGGCGCTGGCCCTTCCTCCAGGCACCTGGGCTGGGTGAAGCTGGCTGAGTGCCCGCTCACTCCTTGCCCATCTGAGGAAAAGGATGCAGAGAAGTGGTACACTCTGGGGGTGTTGTTCTGAACCCATCTAGCTGGTGGGCTCCAGCCCCCACCTCTCTCCCCTGAGCATCCCCAGGTCCTCCCCCCGCCACCACCACCCCCAGGCTTGGCATTGTCATCCCAAAGAACTTTCTCTCCAAAACCTTTCCCACCTCAGAGAGATTGGGCATGCTCACAAGCAGGCACAGAGAGGCCGAGCCTCCTCTCCAAAACCACATGCTCTGTGGGGCCCAACGTGGGTTCCAGTCCCCCCTCCCAGAAGGAGCTGGGGACATCTCCGACAGTGAACACTGCTGCTTCGACACTGCTAAGTGGAGTGTGATCACTGGGCTTTCTGAGCATGGTGGTTTGTGTGTGCGCGCGTGTGTGCGTGCGTGCGTATCCTTGAGCACACCCTCTGCCTTCCCAGACGGATGGACTGGTGTAGGGTGGGACATGACTATGGAATTTACAAGTGTAGGTGGAATCTCCAACTGTCTCCCGGCAATCCAGTTCCAGGGACACGCCCCATTCTAGGGGTATGTGTGTGCGCGTGAGTGCACGTGCGCGTGTGCGTGTGCGTGTGTGTGTGTTGGTGCCCAAGCTGGCTGTCGTTTGTCAGAAGCAGTGATTTCAGGCGGGAGGAGCAGGGAGGAGAGCTGACTGATCATGCACCTTCCCATGAGCATGGGGTGGAGGTTAGGGTCAGACCTCCCAGTGGGCTCTCTTGTCGCATCCAGGGGTTCTTCAGGGGGTGCCCACCCCCCGGAGCTCCCAGAGTAGCCATGAGAGCAAGGGTTCCCTTTTTTCCTGTGACTCACAGCTGGCTCTCGAGTCAAGTTCCTTGAGCCATCACGATTCAGCTAATTCTCTCCCCAGCCCCATTAACCTGAGCTGACTAAGCAAGAGCCACAGGCAGGGTAGAGACCCAGGGATGCTCACGACAGCAGTCATTCCTAAACAACCTGGCAGGACTTCTTGCCCCGGCTTCTGTCCATCTCCCTGCTTTGGGCCTGGCCGTGCCTAATTGGATTGGTTACACTTGCGACCCCCCCAAGAAAGCTTGCCACTACCTCCCTCTGGGGCCCTCTGGGCGTGTCTCTCCATCTTCCCCCTCTGCCTGCCACCCACCTGCAGTGTAGAGAGGTCCACCTGAACAACAGACCTCAACTTGTCTTGTTGCACTTGATCTCATTTTTACTGTTTGGCCAGCATACAGCCTTGAAGGCCCGGATAGGCTCAGGAAGTAGAGGGCTTCTCCAGGGATGACCCCATCCAGTCCTTTCTGTTCTAGTGGCATTGCTCTGGGCTTTTCCTAAACACTGGGAGAAGGGGGAGGACATAGCAGGACCTGGTGGGGATGAGGCCGAGGGGTGTTGGGCTTTGAGGGGGATCTCTGGTGCACAGAGAGATCCGTTCTGGAGAGGTGGGGATGGAAGATGGGTTTGGGGATGAGGATGGAGGTAGGGCTGAGGAGGTGAGGTAGAGAGGGATGGGATTGTGGAGACAGAGGTGAAATTGGGGATGCAGACGGGAGTGGAGGGGTTAGGGATAGGCTGGGGGTTGAGGATGGAGATGGGCACAGAGATGGAGGAAGGGGCAGTAAATCGGAAAGACCAAAATTATTTAGGGATGTTTGATGCTTCTGAGATGCACTCTTCCGAGGTCATCTTGTCATTTCCCTGCTCCTGGGCATGTTGCTAGCCTAACCACACCCATCCAAGATCAATGGTCGCCTCTCCACTCAGGAAACCACCTCTTGTGGTCACACAGTCCAGCCAAACTCAGTTTATGATCCCGAAACATGTCATGAAGTCCAATGTCAATCTCTCCTGCTTGCGGAAGCCAGTCTTGGGCCTAGCCATGGTTGTGGGCTGTGACTGGGAAGGGAAGAGGGGAGGGCATGGCTGTGGCGGTCCCCTGTCCCTTGCATCCCTCTGTAATGGAGAAAGATTAGGGGAGGTGGGCAGAAGTGGCTCCCAATAGCCCCACCTCATCAGAGTGTGGAGCTGGAGAGACCATGAGAAGGGCAGTGGGGCCTTCCTTCTGTCCTTTCCTATACACCAGGTCTCAGGAAATTTCAGTGTGGCTTAGTAACAGTCTCTGGCTCTATGCTTGAGCCCTGTGCATGCGGTGGTGTTCTGCGATCCAGGAAGACTCAAGCCGGAAGGAGGGAGTTAGACATCAGGAAGGACTTCCCGGCTGGGAAGGATGGAGAGAGCCCATAGGAAAGGGAGTTATGGTGCTTTCTTAGAAGGCAGATGGGACTCTCCTTGGGGGCTAAAGAAAGGCCCTCCCTTAGACCAGGGTGTGGGTGGGGGCTGGCTCATGACAACCTCCCAGAAGGCATGTGTCCCTGGTGGGCTTTCCCCCTCGTCTTTCACTTTCCTGAGCCTCCTCCCCCTCTCACGATGAATGGCAAAGGCCGTTGGTAGGGGGCAAGGTGGTGGGCTCAGTTTGCGGATGAGAAAAAGGTGGGGGGGCAGGGACCCCCCGATCTTTCTCTGCCCTTCCTGAGAGCAGAATTGAGAGGATTCTGGGGCTCCCTGAGCGTCCTTTGAGAACTCCCTGGCATTCCCGGGAGAACAGGTTCCTGGCCCTGGGAGGTGAGTGAGGCGCCGGGCCTGGGGGGGCAGCATGCCTCAGCAGGCCCTGGAGCCGGGAGCTGAGCTCCACAGAGGCAGCATGGGCGGGGCCGGGCGGGGAGCTGGGAGGACATGCACCTCTCCCCATGGCACCTTCTCCCCTGAGGATCCCGAGCCTCCCCAGCCCCAGCCTGACTCTGACCCTGCCTGGCCCACCACACGAGAGAGGGTCCAGGACAGAAGGTGCCAGGCCCCACCCCCCCATCAGTTGGGTCCTGTGGGTCGGGCAATGACCGAGGTGGCAAAAGAGCCTGAGCCAGCCCCTATGGGGACAGGGCTGGAGTGCAAGGCCATCCTTCCACTCTACCCTCCGGTCAGCCCAGAGGAGCTGGGTCTCATCAGTGGGGGAAGGCCAAGGCTATGGGTCAAGCAGAGCAGTGGAGACTTCACGACTTCGAGGGAGGTGACTGAGCGTCCTCCTGCAGGATTAGCAAAGTGAGGAGGGCAGCCCTGCCTGGCATGGGACATGAGCGGCATCGGGTCCAGGAGAGGGATGAGGGGACTTCTCTGGGATGGGCCCTGTTCACCCAGGTCCTTTCCCACTGGCCAGCTGTACCCGGCTACGACACACACACAAACACACCCCCCCACCAACAGCCCCCCTCCATGCCCGTAGGTGCAGAGAGAGCTGGCAGACACGCCCACTTGTTAGAGTCTGTGTTTTATCTAACTTGCTTCTTTGGACATTTAAGGAGGGCCTGGGGGACTCCCCGGGGAATGCCAGAACCTTACCTGATCAGGTAGGAGGTGGGGAGAAGCTGTGGGAGCCAGAGGGGGCTTCCTGCCGCTCCAGCCATTTCCCTAAGAGCCTTTGCTTGCCAGACTCTCAGTTCTACACTTCAAGGGTCCTAGAGCTGCCTCCCTATCCCTGGGCTGCTCACCAGACCTCTCAATCACAGAAGTCTGGAGGGAGAGCGGTGTTCCTAGACCTCTGGGGGATTCCGCCTTGAGCTCCGCATCCGGCACGGGCCACAGCACCTGTTTGCCACCTGTCTGCTTCTCCACGAGCTGTGCCATCTCCTTCCTGCACCCCAGGCCTCCCTCCAGCCCCCGGGCGTCTAGACCCCAGCCCAGGCCGCCCAGAGACGTTGAGCGATGTCTGGATCAACACAGCCCCTTGGCACCACCCAGCCCCCGGAGCTGGGATCCCCCCTCTCCCCTAGAAAGCCACTAAAATTGGGAATCTGCCTCGCCGTCCTGCAGCTCTAGTTTTCTGGTCCTAGCATTGCCGAGCCCTCCTTTTCTCCCCGCACGGGGTGGCTCCGCATAGCCTCTTCAGCCACAGAGCCGCACACAAAATCCAACACACCCCAGAACCACAAGCCCCACTACAGTAAGAAGGGCTGGCATTAGGCGGCCTGGGACAGGGACGAGGGGGAGGAACACGAGGGGGGGGGTCCTCCTTGGCCTCCAGGCACTCACCCCACTTCCTGAGTCTCCCTTCAGCTGCAATAAGAAGATGGGGAGCACCCAGGGGCTCTCAGCCTCTCCCAGGGCCCGTTAAAAAGGCAACCCCCTCCCTCCCCATGCTCTGGCCCTGCCCTGCTGGCCTCCACGGCTGACTTGGGACCAGTCTCCTCTTACCTGCTCAGCGAAGCAGGTCGGCGTGGGGGCCTGGGTCTGGGGGGCCAGGAGCTCCGTCCGCCTGTCAGTCTGTCAGCTTGGCCGTCCTGGGTCTGTGCTGACATCAGGTGAGGGGAGGCAGCTGCTGGGTGAGCCAATAATTATGATATCAGCTTCCCCTTGCCCCGAGGGGCTGCTGCCAAAACGGGGAGAAGAGCAAGGTGACTAAGAAGCTAGTTTGCTCCTTGGCTCTCGTTTGACAGGTCCCGGCTCCTGCGCCCGCCCCAGCCGCACCCCGGCTCCCCCCCAACCCCTCCCTTCGCCTGGGCCAGCCCCGGCCCCCAGTCTCTGCCAGCGGGCACAGCCTGTGGCCTACAGAGGAGGGGGTTGTCCCGTGGCCCCCACCTGTACCCCAGAAAGGGGATGTCAGCCCCCACGGGTGGGGCATAGGCCTGTTGGGACATGCACACGTGTGTCAGGAAAGCTGGGCCACCACATGTATGTTCGTGGAGCCTGCAAAGGGATCCTGGGGAGCAGCACTGCATGGTGGCCCAGGGTTCTTCTGAGGCCTGATGGGAACAGGCAGTGGGGGTGACCCCTCAAGGGCCAAGCTCAAACACAGATGTGCAGAGAACTTATCCGTCCATGGGGTCCGGTCATCTGTCTGTCTCTCCAGTCCCTCTGATATCTTCAGGGTGTCTCCTGTGTGTGTGTGTGTGCGTGTGTGCGGGCGTGGGCACCCAGATGTGGATGTGGATGTGGATGTCTCCCTCCGTGTGTCCGTGGGCATGTGATTCTTTCCAGGTGTCTGTCCATTTGTCCCCGGGGTGGCATACATCTGCACCGGTGGCTTTCCCTGTGTCTGGATGTGGGTCTGCGATCCTATATCCTATGTCCGTATCCTCTTGTGGGTCATCTGTGTCTGCGCTCTGGGTCAGCAGCCTTGGTCTGTGTGTGTATCTGTGGGTCTGTGCGGGTGGAGATGGTGGGGGGCCCTTGGTTCTGTATCATGATCCTAGAGCTACTCTTTTTGTTCTGGAGGATAGAAAAAGAAACCCACATGGTTGTGGCCCTGATTCTGGGCCCACAGAGTCCACACGGAGAGTGGAGTGCCTGGTGAGCCCTCAGAATTGGTCCCCACTGCTCCCCTCTGAACCCCCTCCCACCCCGCTCCTCCCCTCTGCCCCAGGTCCTGTCCCCTCCTTCTTCTCACTGCTTCCCTTTTCATCTTCTTTGCCCCACCCCTATCTCCTGTCCCTGGCCATTCTTTCCCTCCTCCCTCTTCCCCACTTGTCCTGGCTTCTAAGCCCACTTGTCTCTCTTCCTGGAGCTAAAGGCTGCAGGTACTTAGCGGTGATCTGCTGCCCAGCAACACCTGGGATTTGGTTTCTGGCCTCAGGGTATGGAGAGGGCAGTTCCTCTCCACTTTATCTATCTCATTCCGAGAGGTAATGCTAACCTTGGCAGGGGCAGGGTGGTGGTCATCTGGCACCAGTGTGGAGTAGACTTAAACATTTGTAGACTTCCTGGTCTAGGCAGGGAACAATCGTTTCAGAAAAGAGAGTGCTGAGGCAGGTAATAGTGAACCCCTCTGTGAGTGATGGTTAGCAGTGTCATCCTCCATACTTACCACTCGAGTCTCAATTTCCTCACCCGTTAAAAAAGGAATAATATTATTTACTCATAGATTAAATAAGATTAAATAAGATGATGTTTAAAGTTCCTAGTACAGGGGTGCCTGGGTGGCTCAGTTGTTAAGCGTCTGCCTTCGGCTCAGGTCATGGTCTCAGGGTCCCGGGATCGAGCCCCGCATCGGGCTCCCTGCTCCGCGGGAAGCCTGCTTCTCCCTCTCCCACTCCCCCTGCTTGTGTTCCCTCTCTCGCTGTGTGTCTCTCAGTCAAATAAATAAAAATAAAATCTTAAAAAAAAAAAAAGTTCCTAGCACAGTCTCTGGTATACAGTAGATGTTCAATAAATGTGTGCCCCCTTTCTCTTCACCAGGTCCAGTGGTGCCGGGTGGGAAATGAGGATTTGCTGGTTTGCCCACTTGGGTGTAGGAATTGTGTTCTGGGGATAGAACAGGGGCCCTGACTCAACCCACCTTTCTCTGGGGCTCATGTTAGCAATCAAAGCCCTGTTCCCTTAACCTAATAATCAATGGAGTTTCACAGTGAAGGAGCAGCTGTCTGGACCATCTAGTATGTTTGCTATTGCTCCTCTCTGGTATATATGGGGCTAATTATTATTTTTAGACTCATGGGTATTTCCATATGGTTACCCTGGGCACTGAGAACCATGAAAGCTGTAAATGGGAGGCTGCTCTCATTGCTATCAATCAACATTATTCTGAAGGCCCTAACCAGTGCAATAAGATAAGAAAAAGAACTAAGGGACATAAATATGAGAAGGGAAGAGGGAAAACCTTCAAAAATTACAAATGATGTGATTGTTTACTTAGGAAATCTAAGAGAATCACCTAAAAAGCTATTAGGACTAATGAGAGAATTTAGTAAAGTACCAGAACACATGTTAAGTATAGAAAAACCAAACCATGTCTATGCAACTAAAACAGACAAGTGGAAAATAAAAGGAGACAAAAGATCCTATTCACAATAGTAACAACATTATACAGTACCCAGGAATAAACTTAGTAAGAAGTATATAAAATCTCCGTGAAGAAAACAATAGAACTTTACTGATAGATGTAAAATAAAGCCTGAATAAATATAAAGGCAATCATGTTCCTGAATAGAAAGTCAATATAATATTGTAATGATGTCAGTTCTGCCCTAAATAATCTATAAACTGAATGTAATTCAAATCAAATCTAATTTTTCACCCCCTAAACTTGACTAGTTGATTCTAAATTTTTTTTTTTAAAGATTTTATTTATTTATTTGAGACAGAGAGAATGAGAGGGAGGAAGGTCAGAGGGAGAAGCAGACTCCCTGCCGAGCAGGGAGCCCGATGCGGGACTCGATCCAGGGACTCCAGGATCATGACCTGAGCCGAAGGCAGTCGCTTAACCAACTGAGCCACCCAGGCGCCCAGTTGATTCTAAATTTTGGGGAAGAGTTAATACATGAGGATAGCCTAGAACTTTTGGAAAAGAAGACTAATAGGGAGAACTTGCCTTCCAGATTTCAAAATGTTCTATGAGGGCTTCTGCAATTAAACCAGTGTGATTTTGGTGCAAATTAGCAAATAAATTAATGGAAGATAATAGAGTCCAGGATGAATGGGGATTTTTGAGAATTGGGTATATAATAACAAGTGTTCTAAGCAGCAGGAAAGTGTAAAAAATTCAATGAATGGACTTGGGATAATGGGTTTTTCCATTTTTTTTTTTTAGATTTTATTTATTTATTTGACAGAGAGAAACACAGCGAGAGAGGGAACACAAGCAGGGGGAGTGGGAGAGGGAGAAGCAGGCTCCCCGCAGAGCAGGGAGCCCGATGTGGGACTCGATCCCAGGACCCTGGGATCATGACCTGAGCCGAAGGCAGTCGCTTAACCAACTGAGCCACCCAGGCGCCCTGTTTTTGTTTGTTTTTTAAGGTTTTATTTATTTATTTGAGAGACAGAGAGAAAGCATGAGCAGGAGAGGGAGAAGCAGGCTCCCCACTGGGCAGGGGACCCAGGACCCTGGGATCATGACCTGAGCCAAAAGCAGACACCCAGTGGACTGAGCCACCCAGGTGCCCCTGGGTTTTCCATTTGAAAGAAATAAAGTTAAATCCTACTTCACATTACTCATTTAAAAAATCCAGGTAGATGAAAGTCTAATGTAAAATGAAAACCATACACATAAATTTTAAAAATATAGAAAACATTTTAATAATTACGGAGTAGAGAAGGCAGTTTTTAAACATGGCATCAAATCCAGAAACCACAAATGAATATATTGGTAGACTTGACTAAGTAAACATTACAAATTTCATTAGAACAAAATATACCGTAAACAAAGCTAAATTATATATATATATATATAAACCAGCCTGGAAGAAAGTGTTGCAACATATATAATAGACAAAGAATTACTATCAATAATATATAAAGAGCTCCTCTAAATAGATCAAATGATCGTAGGAAAATGGGCCTACATGAGTAGGACATGAGTAATTAATTCAGAGGTAAAATACAAATGGCCAATAAACAAATGAAAAGATTTTTAATTTCCTTAAAAATCAAGGAAATGTAGATTGATTCAGAGGCCAAGGGTCCCAGAGGGGCTCTGATCTGATGCCAGGAGAGACTGGTTTTCACCTTACTACAGACTCTGCTTTTGATGGTGAGGTGAACTTTTTCTTGGGAGATAGGATCCACCTCTGCCCTTGGATTGGGGGCGGGCTCTGGCTCCCTCTTGCCTTTTGGGAAATACTACTTCCTCATTGCAGGCCATCTGGGAGTTGAAGCGGAAGCCTTGGGAATTCCAGTGTTTTTGGACACCAAGGGGGATTTGTGAGGTCTTTCTTCTCATTCTCCACCTTCAGACAGGAGCATCCTCTCCTTCTCTCATCATCCCGGCCCCTCAGAGTTCTCTCCTAGACCCAGAAAGTCTGTCCTGGTGTCTAACCTCAACTCTAGCTGCTGCAGTGTTGGCTCTGCTCTCCTTGGAAAGGACTTGTATCTGGAGGTTTGGTCTCACACACTCCAACACCTTCATTTCAGGGCCTGTAGGTATAGCTGGGCTCTGGCCTGGATGGACTGTGGCTGGGTGTTGAAACAGACAGGGGCCAGGAAAAGCTCTGTCTCTCTGGAGACTGGAGGTCAGAACTTGTTCACTGCCTGCTGCTTAGCTCTGCCCAGGGCTGGGCTGCTTTGAACCGGTATCAGCCCTAACGGGGGATGGAAATCCCTGGTGTCGATGTCCGCCATGCTCCCATCTTGTGCAAGACTCTGGTTACCCCAGGGAGAAGGAAGAGCATGTTTCCACCATGGGGAGCCCCAGTGTGATGGAGGAGGGGCTCGCTCCATGTACCCCACATCAGGACTAGCCATCTTCTATCCGTTTCCGTCCGTGTGAGCTGGACTTGTCTCCCCAAAATGGGTTCCCAAGACTGAGCCTGCCACATTCCAGGCCTTCCGAGTCTTACTCCATTGGCAGGGAAGACATTTAAGACCGCCTGCAGAGGAACTGGGCCCAAGTGAAGCTGCCCGGAGGCCCTGAGGCCTGAGGACTCCATGTCAAAGAAGGGTTGGAGAGGTCTGGGGTTAATCCGGATGGGCTTCCTGGGGGAGAGCAGGCAGCTCCTTGGCTGTAGATGGCAGAGAAGCTCTGGCCAGAGTTGTGGAGGGTGTGTGGCGGGGGCACCCGGTTGGAAGGTCTGAGCCTGTTCTGGTTGGCTGACCCTCTGGGAAATTCAGGGAGTTTCCAAGCTGAGAGCTTGGTGGGGGGGGTTTGGGAGGGAGGGACACAGCTAGAGTCCTGCTGGGGGAGAAGGACAGGCTTCTCCTGGCTAGTCTTAATCCCTCCTGCTTTAGGAAGCAAGGCTGTGGAGGTGGGGGAAGAGCGATGCCAGTGTGCGCGTGTGAGTGTTCACTGGTATCCGTGTCTGTGTGGTACAGGTTACCTGTGTGTGAGTGTGCAAGTATTTACATTTCTGTTTTCATGCTCACATGTGCCACTCCAGGTGTGCATTACGTGTGTCCTGATCTTTCCAATCAGGCTGCTCCATGCTCTTGCCCCCACTCTTCTTTGACCCCTCCTCACCCCCTCCCCTCCCTGAAGTTGAGGGCTCACCCTTTTGACTGCCTGCCCCTAGTAAAACCTCACGGCTCTGCTGACTACTACTAATGGGGCCCAGACTGGGGTGGAGGTTACGTGGGGCACTCTCATCAGGCCGGCACCCACCAGAACCTCAGCAATCCCAGTCCTACCCCACCCCTCACTCTGCACCCCCTCGCCGTGTCACCCTCCAGCCTACACAGCTCACCCCTCCCTCTTCAGCCTTCCATCGGAGACTTTGGAGAGACAGAGAAGTCATGGCCTGAGCCCCCCAAGGGACCTATTCTGGATTTGAGGACCCTAACCTCCAGAGCTGCCCTTGACCTAAGGCCCAAGTCAAGATGAACCCAGAGAGTGGGATCTACGACCCTGCTTCCACCTTCTCCATCTCCCTAACTAGGATTCCCTTGCCACCCTGCCAGTTTCTCTTTGAAAACTTGGCTTGATGGATCTTCCATGTGCTCTCTGGCTGTCAGTTGCCCCCGGGGTTGGGGCTGGCTGGCAGGATGAGGGGGGAGGCAAACGGGACACTCCCAGAACCCTAGGGGACAGGGGCAGGGGAAAAAGTAAGAGATGACTGAGCAATCTGGGCGGATCTGCTGAGCCTAAAGGTGACCTTGGTTCAAGGCCCACAGCACTCCATGCACAGCAGTCTGGAAAGGGGCTTTGAAGGCAGTGTGTCCAACTTCCCTCCGGGAGCAAGAAGCTCCCCCTATGCTTCTGATACATTCATGCATTCACGCATGCATTCATACAACCGTCACTGGGCCAGGCCCTGTGCGAGGACCTGGGGACACAGTGGCATCAGGCAGATTATCCTTAGGTTGGTTCTGGCCTCACTTATCTTCTCTAGCAACGGGGGGTGCATTAGCACAGAAGTTCTTGAGTCCCAACACTGCGCAAATTCAGCCGCTAGGAGACAGCTGGAGCCCCCCCTCCCCCCACTACCTTTCTGGAAGCCACGGCAGAAAGGGTGCGGGTGCAGCGCATCGTCCCCATGGTGCCCCATCTACCTGCCACAGCCTCGAGTGTATGTGGGAGGAGCTGAGCTCCTAGGGCAGCCTGCATAGACCAGACCTGGGCTGACAGGCCCTTCCTTCAAAGGCTGGCCCAGTCCATGCCACTTTATTGCCTAACTAATGATGGTGATTAGGCCAACAGGTGCTACATGCCTTCTGTGTCCACCCTTCTGCCTGCTGAGAAGGATGGTGTCTGAGTACCCGGGGGCGGCCTGCCCCGCGCTCTGCCAGGGCACCCACCACTGCCGCCCCCTCAACCGTCAGGCCAGTTTTTGCCCACCTTGTCCCCAGGGAACGCAGGGCTAGTTCAGTCCTCATCTGTTGGGATTGCTGTGTGGCCTCAGTCCCCATCTGGCCCTCTCTGAGCAGGACTGAGGGGGAAGTGGGTAGGTAGGAAGGGAAGCTGAGGACAGTGCGTGGGGGCATTTGCCCCTGAGAAGCACACCTACCTCACCCCCAGCTACGGTTGGGCTGTGGGCACCCACCTAGAACCCAGAAGCAAGTAGCAGCAGAGGGTCTTCCTTGCAGATGAGCTGGGGCTGCTCCTTAAGAACCCACTGCATTGTGGGTAAGTCTGGAGGGGTTGGCCCACCACTCCCAGTTGGGGGGTACTATTGCCTAGGGCCCGGGTTGTGTGTGTGTGGGGGGGTCCTAGTGTGGGTCTGGGTGGGAGCCATGATTTATGATGGTGCTTCATGACTGAGGAATGCCAGCCTGGGGGGGCTGGGGTCAGGGGGCGGAGCCTCTTGCCTGACACTCCTCATTCTGCTGGATGTCTGCCATGTCCTGTCAGGATTCTCTTGTCCCCTGGGGACAGCCATGTTCTCCCACATGCAGCAGCCCCCTCCCATCTGCACCTCGAACCTTCAGCTCTGGGAGGACTGAGCGCCGGCCCAGCTGAGGGGGAATCCAGAACTGAATCCTTTCTGGTTTTCTGTCTTCACAACTCAGTCCCCTTCGTTAGTGCGCATGAGAGTGATGGTAAATAGCTCTTTTCTCTCCCACTGCAGCAGGAGGGAACTAGATGAGACTTTTGGAAACTTCCATCCAGATGAACTCAAGGCTTACTGGCCACTGTCCACAGTGAGAGACTTAGGATAGATACAAAGATGAACTTCCAGCTAGGAAGGGTTGTTGAGCTCCTAGAATGGATGATGGGTGTGGCATCATCCTTCCCCACTCTTACCCCCACCTTGCCAGATAAATGAAAACTCTGGAGTGCAGGCAGGTGGGGAAGCAGAAGACGGTTGGCGGTGAGGTAGGGAGGCAGCATGATCCACAGCGCTGTCTGGTCCTGGACTCCGAAGTTCATGCCGATTTTGAACCTGTTCCTGTGAGTCTCACTTGTTTCCCTCTTGCTGCAGGTTGCCTCTCTGGGTGAGGGTCCATCTTTCTGGACACCTAGCATGGGTCAGTCTGCCTTCCCTGGTCTGGCGGGACTGGTTTTTCAAGCCGGAGGAAGGGTCGGAGGAATTGGCAGAGGCAGAGAGTTTTATGTAAATGCCCAGGGAGTGCTCTGGGAACGGGGAGGCCGGTTTTCCCAAAGACACGCAGGGACTGGCAGCTTCCAATTAGCCGGGGCTGGTGATGTCAGTGCTGCTTTCCTGGGTGGCTGCGCCCACTCCAATCGGCCTTGGCAGGGCTTCCTGGCCATTACCTTCTCCCCTGGGTGGGAGAGGTGCCAAGGGGGCCACCATACAGGACAGAGGCCAAGTCCCCTCCCACCATACTCCCCAAACTGGGGCCTGAACCATGTTGTGGACCAGCCCCGGAAAGTGCCATGAAAAACCAGCCCCGACTCTACTGAAAAAAAGACTTTAATGTGGCTAATATTCCATCCCTCTCCCCAAACCTGAGAAGCTGGGGAGACCTCAGTAGCTGGGCTGGTCCCAGAGGCTGTTGCCGTGGCAACTGCTGGTAGGCCCTGCTCCCCAGGCTACCCCAACCCCAAATTTCAATAAATACAGTGCAAAGGGGTCTGGTCACCCACCAAGCGGGGGAGACGAGGACCTGGAGTGCCAGAGAGGGCACGCTGTATGCTCTGAGAACCCCCACATGCGCACTGCCAAGCACGCACATGGAGGGTCACGTGCACACACGACAAACCCCCTCTCAGGCACCCTCACATGACACGCCATGCACACACACACACACACACACATTTTCCTCAGAAACAAAGCACTGAGCACACACACCCCTTCCTTACAGACACACACACGAGGTTCTGTATATATGTGCTTTCTCTCAATGTTTGGCTTAGAGCCTGGGTGTCCCCTCCTGGCTCAGAGGAATACGAACAGGTGGGTCTTCCTGGTCTTAGCCAGATCATACCCTGGTCTAGGGGCTAGGTGTTGTGGCCAGGTTGTTGGCCGTGTTGTTGGTGTGGGCCCAGGAGGGGAAGGTGTGCAGGTTGAAGATGGGGTAGCCCCAGCTATTGATGGCCAGTGTGATGACCAGGACTCCAATGATGTTGAGCAGGAATCCTGTCCGGGCCTGGTGTAAGGAGAGCCAGTCTGAGTGACCAGTTGCTGAGCTGGGCCAGAACCTATCCCTTAGGGGTTCACAGGGGCTCGGGAGCTCTCTTACTAGCAAAACTCTCCCTGAGAAATCTTCTTGTGGGTCTGACCTGCTGGGTGCCCCTGCCCCTTGCTTTCATCCCAGTGCTGAGGAGGGAAAAGGAAGCCCTTCATGAGCTTTCAGGGCCTTGGGCTCTGTTCTCCCTGAGTCCATCTCCCTGGGTGCAGGTGCCTCGTACCTTGGAGCCTCCCCTAAATTCCTCACCCCCTCCTTTCCCTCTCACATGTCCTGGGGTTTGGCAGGGTCTGAAGATGCTCCAACTGGGGATCATGGTGCAACCTCCCCTGCTGTCCCCTCCCCTCCCCGGACAGGGTTCACCCTTAACTCTGAGAACCTCAGTGGCTTTAAACTACTTTGTGGTCCACCAAGAAGGAAGGACAGAGCAGGGAGGGGTGCTGAAGCATTCGAGCCCCACTGCTACTCACCATATCGGACACTTTGAGACCTCCAAAAGAGAAGACAATGGCATTGGGAGGGGTGGCCACGGGCAGCATGAAGGCTAGGGAGGAGGCCAGTGTGCAGGGAAGCATGACATAGAGAGGGTGGAGGCGGATGGCCTGAGCCTGGATGGGGACACAGTGCACAGAACTGATCTCAGTCCCCATCCCAGAGAGGAAGACGTGGCCCCCAATTCTCCCGCTTCCCCTCTCTGGAGGACAACCCGCCAACAACATGCACTCTGGCCACGAACCCACCACTTCTGCCAGGAGGCCCTGGGTGACCTGGGAAGGGCCCCTTGACCTCTCTGGAGGGGATGAGTGTGCGGCCCTGCCCAGTGGGGCGTGGTGAGAGGAGGGGCCCATAAAACGGATCTCAAAGGAGCTCCAGGGTGTCATCAAAGGCTGAGGGAACGTGCCAGGGGAGGAAGGGGCTGGGGACGCTCCAGGGAGTCATTTCAACCTGTCACCTCAGGACTGACCAGAACAGGGACTGGGCCAGGGAGGTGGGCGAGGCCCACCAATGAGGTCCATCCGGATACGCAAGGGGTGACTTCACCAGGGATGGAGTGAGTCAGGGGCCAGAAGGCCTTGGGGCTCGAGGTAGCTGAAGAGTCTGGGGAAGGGTGGAAGCTCAGGGGTCTTCTCCCGGAAGTGAGAGGAGGTGCAAACAGTTTCACCCTGACCTGCAGGCGGGGCCCCCGGATAGGGTGGGCAGGAGGGCTGCCTGGAGGAAGTGTATCTGCGGGACCAGCTCACCATGGAGGCCAGAATGGGCAGGAAAAGTGTGGTGGTGGCCACATTGCTGGTGCATTCAGTGAAGGTGGCAATCAGGAGGCAGATGATGAAGGCAATGGCGGGAGGTGGCACATTCTCTAGTGGGGTCAGCTTGTCCCCCAGCCACTCGGACAGTCCTGATTTCTGTAGGCAGAGGAAGATAGTGTGTGAGGGGGTGAGATTCCTGGGGCTCTGGGAGGGTCCTGCTCCTGCCCCCACCTCTCTAGAGTCTTCAGAAGTTGGGTCTGCTTGGGAAGGAAGATAAGACCCAGCCAGAACCAAGAGGCCCCTCTAGTGATTTTGAAGAACACTTGGGTATGGGGAGAAGGGTCAGATGAGAAGCCAGGAGATGGGGCCAAAGGGCCTTCTTGGGAAGCCTGGGACATGGTGGGAGTAAAGACTTTAACTCCTTTTACTCCTGTTCTCCCAACAGCTCTTGGGAACTCCCTGGCCATCCTCAGCCCTCTCCCGGCCTCCTCCAGCCCAGCAGATTGGCAAGGAGAGAGAAGGGGGAAGGGCCCTGGGTAGATGCTGGGAAGAGGCTGACAGGAGAATGGGGACAGCCCACAGGGTCATGAGGGCTGCAAGGTCGTTCCCTGTCCGTGTGTCTACTGCCAGACTGTGAGTCCCAGGGCCCTGGGACTTTATCTCACACAATGCTGCCCGCTCAGCACGCAGCCCAGTGCTTGCCACAGTCCGTGAAAACTAACCTCAGATCCAGGAGTCCCTGGCACCGATCCCTGGCCCAGGGAAGCCACCTCCTGTCCGTGCAGTGAACGAGCTTAGCCAGAACACGGAGGCCCAGGGGCGCAGGCAGGTTCAGGGATTTCCCTCCTGGGTGGAGGCTCTGGGGAAGGATGCGCTCTCCGGGCCCTATAGCCTGGCTGGGTGTGACCATGGCGCCCCCTGGTGGCCTCAGCGGGCCAACCGCGTCCACCCAAGGCTAGCTACTCCCTGGTGCTAAAGCTGTTGCATTCTCCGTCTGGCGGAGGGTGAGGCGGGTGGAGAGGGGTGGGGCGGGGTCGGCACTGAGAACAGTCCTTGCCCGCCAGAGGAGCCTGCCCTGCCTTTGATTTTGCGACCCTAACAGGCAGAGGTCCTTATGGCCTGTGTTTCCTCCCCCTCCCTTAGACGGAGCTCTAACCTGCCTCTCCAGCTGCTGCCGAGGCTCCGCCCACCAGGAGGCTCCTAAGTGGGGATCCCCTGCGTGGGATAGAAGCAGGGACCTCTTTCCCTGCCGCAGGGTCCCCCTCCAACAGGCTGGGGAGGGGGCGGGGCTTTCTCACCTCGCTGCCCTTAGCCAGGGCAAAACCGCCCCCCAGCAGGAGGACGATATTCCAGGGCATCTTCTCATTCACCGTCTTCCAGTTGAGGAGGGCAGGAGGGGCCTTCAGCCTCCCCGGGTTTTCTATTTCCCAAGCAGAGGAGAACAGGTCACCAAGAGCCAACAGGTTTTTCCTCCCCTCCACTTGGGTCTCCCTGTCAGTCCCTATCAGAGCTTACTGCATGCAGGAGAGGAACCCCAGTTCTGCAGCATCCTTACTTTGTCCCTGAGTCCCTGCACCCTTGGCAAGTCATCCCAACCTGTCTGGGCTTTGACTATTCCTGTCAAGTGTGGTTGAAGGTGCATTCCATGCTAGAAGGCAGGGGCTGCCCAGAGGCCCCTCCCTGCCCCAGTCCAGGTTCTTACCTGGATCTGGAGTCAGCCCTGGGATCTTGGAGGGCACCAAGAACAGAATTATGCCAATGAAGATGGCCACTGTTCCATCGGATGCCATGCTGTGGGCAGGGCAAGGAGAGCGGGCTTAGGCTCCAGGCTGCTCAGGGTCATAGGGTGGAATGGCGATGGAGAGGAGCCCCTCCCAGCAAGTCTTCCCCACCATGTCACCTCCTGGTCTGCACCAGGGGCCCTTCTCCCTTCCCTCCTCCCTTAGCCAGGTGAGCCCCGGAAGTATCCCCCTCTCCCCAAGAATGCTCACCTGTTTCCATCCTTATCGGGAAAAGCCAGGTTGCCCCAGCCAACGAAAAAGCCTGGCTCCCGGGTGAACCATAGCACCACCAAGGTGACAAAGAGGACAGAGACAGCCTTTTCTGCAAAGGTCATGGGGCCCAGTAGCTTGTGTTCTGTTTGGATGACGCGGAAGGCTGCCCGTGCTCTCTCCTGCGCCTGTCCCCCGATGCCAAAATTCTTCCGGAAGCTGCAGGCAGAGGTGGGGGGTGGGGCAGCTCCTGAGGACCCCGCACCAGGCAGGGGAGCAAGGGACTCTGAGCACCTGTGATATGCTGATGCCTGCAGAGGCCACCTTAGGGTTGCTACACGAAGGCCCTGGCCCTGGCCCCACCCAAGGTTTTGGAAGAAGAGCAGAAGACTCTCGGGGGTTCGTGGTTCTTATTTAGCAGAGGCAAGGCTGGGGCTCCAGGGGCCGGTTTCCCCATGCTTAGCCCTGCTCCATCTGTCCCAATGATCCCCTTTCCCTCCAGAGATTTTCTTGCGCTAAGCCCTCCCTTGCCCAGAGTGAGGAGGATCTAGAGGCCTGGACCCCACGACTCCTTCTGGCCCCAATTCGCCACTCCCTTCCTCCAGCAGCCTTTCAGAAAATCCTTCCCTCCCTCTCCTACCTGCTTCTGGGCATCCCCTGCCAGCCTAGCCCCACCCACATCATTCTCAGGGGCACAGGAGACAGCCACCCACTTCTGTGTGCCCCTTGCTTAACTTAGGTTGACTTTTAACTTTCCACTTGGGCAACTCTCAACTCCCCTGACGGACTGTGAATTCCTCAGTGGCAAAGACCATCTACCTCACACAACTTTGAATGTCCCACGGTGCCCTGCATATGAGGGTCTCTTTGACTATCACCTAGCTTTGTACCAGCCCCCAGCCTCGATCCAGCTGCCTTGCACATGTCCAAGTGAGTGTTTCAAAGTACAGCAACAATACTTAAAAACTTTCAATGTCCCCCGCTTCCATCCTCACCTTCCCACCACTGCCACCTGAGCAGGAAAGTCCAATAACTCCTACCACAATACCACCCTTATCACTACTCTCAGCCCGCACTGGTAGCAGACATGACCAGTCGATCCCAGACTCAATTCCAAGTGAGCTCTAGCGAGGTCTCACCAGATTGTCAACTCAGACCTCTGGTCACTACCAGTAACTCAGGGTTGGAAGTAAGACTAAAACCTATTTACTACTCTTGGCCTCAAGGACAAGGTCCCAACCCTTGGATGCGGCACACAGGATCCTCCATAATCTTCCCCTGCCTACTTCTCCAGTTTCAACTCCTGATATTCCTTTTTGCCTTTATGTTTCAACCAATAAAACCAGAGTTTTCCCAAACACACGCTCTTTCTTGGCCTCTGCACCTTTGTGTAAGCTGTTCCTACTGCCTGGAATGCCTTTACCCCATTCTCTACCTGGCTGGCTTCTCGTTCTACAAGATTCGGTTCAGACATCACGTCCCCCAGGGGCCTTCTGGGATCGCCACTATCCTGGGCTGTGTTCCCACAGCCCCCAGGGTTCCCTTTGTCACGGCCCCCACCACACCACCACCCGTCAGATGGTGAGCTCCAAGGACAGGGGCTGTGCCTAATATCCTCTCGTATTCTCAGTGCCTTGCACGGGGCCAGATGTCCGGTAAGAGCACAACAAATGCTTTTGTAACTGACCATGCTCACTGTGTGCTCCTTAAGCATTTACCAAAGGACCGTGGAGCACTATGGAATGGATCTGGCCTGGGCATCAGGAGACCTAGTTTTCAAACTCAGCATTGACAAATCTAGTTGTACACCCCTCTATGAGCCTCAGTTTGCTCATCTGCTAAATGGGGTAATAGGCTCCATCCAGTAAATCTCTCACAGAGAGGCCTTCTCAGTGGGTCTGTGATTACACCCTTTGCACAGAGAGGCCTTCTCAGTGGGTCTGTGATTACACCCTTTGCCACAATGGCTACCTGCTTACTCAACCGGAATCTCCCGAGGGTAAGGGCAGGCCCCCGGGCTTCTTTCACTCCCGCCACCACTTACTTGAACCCCAGGAAGAGGCTCTGTAGCCACAGCCAGGAAAGCAGCAGCAAGATGGCCATGGTGGGGAAGGCAAAGACGAACCAGGAGGCAAAGTTCACCACGTTGCCGTTCTGGGGAAAGAGCCTGGTGGGGGATGCGGGCTGTTGCATGACATTGCCCCAGGCGCCTCCCAGCGCAAGTGCAGGCCCCCCCCCCGCCCCCCGCTGTGCCCCTGGTCACTCACGCGTTGACTTGGCCTTGCAGCACCAGGTTGGGCGTGGTGCCGGTCAGCGTGGCGATGCCCCCGATGCTGGCCGAGTAGCACACGCACAGGCTCATGCCCTGGCTGAAGCGGAACTGTTCCTGCCGTTGTGCCGCCGTCGGCTCTAAAGACACGGCCGGGACGGGGTGCACCTGCCCGTTATCTGGGAACAAAGGAGAGCTCGGCTGGGGGGGCGGGCCTTGTCAGCAAGCAGCCTAGACCCAGGCTGGTGGGTGGGGGGCGGGCTTGGGGGCGGGGTGCAGAGGCTGTGTCCAGGTCTGCAAGGGCTTGCACTCCCTGAGGTCTCAGGCTGGCTCAACCCTCAGATACCATCTGGCCCAACCTCTCTTGAGAGAGGGAAACTGAGGCACAGAGAATGCAAGAGGATTATCCAAAGCACATAGGACGAAGGGAGCCTGGATCCCTGACAGCCCACCCAGACTCCAGCTCTCTGCCTCCCAGGGTGATCTGGCATCTTGTTTGGCCCTGCACTGAAGGGATTCTCAGAACGTGGGATTTTTCATTTTAAAACTAGGGAGAGGGGCACCCCTGGGTGGCTCAGTTGGGTGGGTATCTGCCTTCGGCTCAGGTCATGGTCCCGGGGTCCTGGGATCGAGTCCCACATCGGGCTCCCTGCTCCGCGGGGAGTCTGCTTCTCCCTCTCCCTCTGCCCCCTCCCCTGCTTGTGTTCTCTCTCTCTCAAATAAATAAATAAAATCTTTAAAAAATAAATAAAAAGAATAAAACTAGGGACAGTCTTGGGCAAGCCAGGACAAGTTGGTCGCTGCACGTCTCCCTTTTCTCTCCCTGAAAGCTCTGAGATGACCACCCCTGTCATGGATGTCATCTCAGACCCTCCCCAAGAGCTGAGGGAGGGTGGTGGTGGTGGGGTTGGGGCAGAGCGGGGTCAAGCTTCACCTTTCTCACCAAACTTGGTCACCTCCTTCTGGGGACTTGGTTCCTGGAGTTCAAAGGTGGGGTTTTCACTGCCTTCCTCTACGTCCTTGCCCGTGGGCGTTCTGTGCAACTGATCCAGAACGGCATGCGCGATGGGCACCATCATGGCTGTGGTGGCCGTGTTGCTAATCCACATGGACAGGAAGGCTGTGACCAACATGAAGCCCAAGAGCAGCCTAGGGACAGATGGAGACGGACGGACCCACTGGCTGGTGTTCCAGTGTCCCCTTCAGGGACTGGATCCCCAGCACCCCACCCGCTCCAGGTTCTCCAGTCCTGGTTTGTGGGAACTCACAGGGCCGGCCGCACCCCAATGATGAGGAGCACACGGAGAGCAATGCGTTTGTGCAGGTTCCAGTGCTCCACGGCAATGGCCACCAGCAGCCCCCCGACGAACAGGATGTTGCTGTCCTTTAAATACTCGATGCAGACCTGGCAGGCAAGGACAGCTGAGAGGCAGGAAGGGGTGTCTCCCATGCCCCTAGCCTTGCAGGCTACAGTCACTGACATTCCCACAAACACAGGTTGGTCTCCTGGGCTCTCAGAACCAAGTAGAAATGGTCTTTGGATTATCTTCCATTTAAAATTAACCAGGTTCCTGCGCGCCTGGGTGGCTCAGTCAGGTAAGTGACTGCCTTTGGCTCAGGTCATGATCCCGGGGTCCTGGTAGCGAGCCCTGTGTCAGGCTCCCTGCTTCTCCCTCTCCCTCTCCCCCTGCTTGTGCTCTCTCTCTCTGTCACATAAATAAATAAAATCTTAAAAAAAAAAAAATTAACCAGGTTCCTCTCTTCCTGTCAAACCCTTTCTTTCTCCCCTCAGAAATGAGTGGGAGATAATCGAGGCTGATTCCAGTCATTTTTCAAGCCATTGACTAGGAGATAGAGAATTTAGTGCTGATACTAGAAAGTACAGCAGTGGTTCTCCAAGTGTGGTCCATAAACCGGCATCATCCCCAACCTGGAGCTTGCTAGGAACGAAATGCTCAGGCCCTGCCCCAGGTCTACTGCCTCTGAAACTCTGGGGTCGGGCCCAGCAGTCTGTTTTTCACCAGCCCTGCAGGTGGTCCTGAGACATGCATGTTTCAGAGCCATTAACCCAGGACAATACAAGTTCTTTAGCTGACTTTCAAAGCCTGCACCTGATCCACTTTGAATTAACTCTCAACACCGACCATGCACTCGGCATTTCTAGAATGTACCCTTGCCCACCCCCAGCCCTGTCATCTTCTAGCTGACTCTACCCTTAGTGCTCCCTGACCTGGACTCCTCTTCTGTGTGTCTTGCCTGTGATGAGGCATCCTCCATCACCAGTGTTTTAGGGCAGACCCCCCCTCCCTACTAGGAACCTTACCTCGGAGGCATCCATTATGCCCATCATGGGGTACAGGACGATGGGGAGGAGGGCGGTGACAGCCAGGGGCAGAGCCTCGGTGCACCAGAAGAGCGCCATGAGGATGATGGAGTAGGCACAGTAGGCTTCCTGTGGGCGGGAGGGGGGGTAGCAGAGCTGCTGGAGGGGGCAGGCCTGTGTCCCAGAGTCATGTCACCTCTTGCCCCCAGAGAAAACAGGCCATTGGTAACAGTGTAGGGAGAGCCTGTGAAACCCACAGTCATTGATTCCTGAGTCCAAGCTCCCATTTCAAAATGGAAATAAAAAATAAAGCAAGGCACTCACCACCTTGTCTTTGACCTTGGGGAGGCCAGATGTTATAATCCAGCCACACGGGAGGGACTGGAGAGCCTAGAGTTGGGTATCAGGCCCCACCCAGCCCGAGGGGACTGCAGGGGGCCAAAGTGAGGATCCCCTAGATGAGATGGGGGCTCATCTAGATGATACTGGGGCCTGGTCAGTGTGGACTCCTGCCTGGCACCCTGGCCTTCCCTGGCTTTGTGAGAGCCTGCAAGAATCTATTTGTATGACGATGCAATGAATGTTTGTTTCCTCTCCCAGAAGGGGAGCTCCATGAGGACAGAGTCGTTTTTGTGACATCTGGGTGCTTGGAGCTCAGGACCCAGCAGGCTTCAGAGCAAATCTTTTCTGAATGAATGAACCACTGGGAAGTTTAGGAATGGTGGGAGGTCTCCTTCCCAGCAAGCCTGATATGACTATAGCATTACACAATTCCGGGAGCTGCCATACACATTTGCAGAATATGTGAAATGTTCCCCCATCCCTGAGTTGTGCGGGGAACTGGAGGGGAAACCCTGGGTCATCATCTTGCAAGTCTTTGAGCACCAGAAGCTCCTCTTTCTTTCACAGGGCCTCCTTTTGAGTCTAGAGAGACCGGATCTCAGACCTGGGAGGGGACCTGGGGCAGAAATGGCAGTCAGCCTCCAGAGTCATGGGCCACCGGAGGGAGGGAAGGAGGATCATTAGCTAGAAGGAGGCCTCTGGGGCACCTGCCCACTCTTTGTGGAAGGGGCTGCTGGGCTGCGTGCTGGGACATTGGGCTGGGAGGCCTTCTCTCTCACCTGTCTCGACTGCCCTGCCCCTTCTTGTTTTTACACTTGGTGCTGGGCTGTGCTCACCCCTGAGTACCTCCTGCCCTTAGTGCCCTGAAGCTTAGGGAGGGTCCCTGGTGGTAGCCTGGGAGAAGAGGAAGCTGTTGTTTATGGAGCAACTTTTAGGAGCTGGGTGTTTTCACGTAACTCAAACAGCCCTGAAGGTGGGTGTGGTGGGCCCAGGATCTAGAGGAGCTCGAGAGGGTAAGTGGCTCGCTTAAGGTCACAGAACTGGGGAGTGGCAGAGCCAGAATTGAACCCAGGCAAGGCATCCAGACTGCAGAACTCGAAGGGCGTTTCCCCGGTGTTCTGGGAAACCCTGGAGTGGAACAGCACGCAGCCTGCGCACCCCACTCTAGAGCCAGGTCTGTCTGCCTGACGCCAGGCTTGCTTTCTCATCATGAAACTTCCACCAGCTCTCCTCACCCTGGACGTGAACTCTTTGGCCCCAGGGGTGGGGCCACCTTGACCTTCGCCCAGAGACTCACCCCCCGCCCGCCCCAACCAAGAGGCTGGTTCTGCTGAAGTTGCTGTTCTCAAGCTCTTCCTCACCTGCAAGGGAAGCGGCCAGTTACTCATCCTCCCCTGGGGCTAAGGGCAGGCCAGCCCCTCTGGACCCTGGCGTCCCCTCCCCACAACTGACTCGGAATTCTCTGGCCAGAGACAAGGAGGGGGCTGGGCTGCCCGGTCACTGCTGATTCAAGAAGAAAGAGCTGCTAAGGACAGCCAGGAGTATCCTGAGGACTGCTCCGTGCCAGGCCTTGGGCGCCCCATGCTTCGGGTGATTGTCGCATTTCATGGCTCGGTGAGGTAATGACTGACTATGGTTCCCACTCCACAGATGAAGAAACAAAGGTACAAATAAATGAAGTCAATGTCTCAGCATCACACGTTGGCAAGTGAAGAAGCCAGGCCATGTGGTTCTTGAGCCTCAGCTTTCTCTTTCTACCCTGAGCTCCATCCCTTACAGTTGGGGGGTGCCCTCCAGCCTCAGGTTCACAGCGACTAGTGGGGTGTATGTGGATGGGCTGGGGCTCTGGATTCCAACAGAACTGTCTTTCCTGGGGACTGCCACTTCCTGCCATCAAGCTCCGGGCAGGTAAACTCAAACCCCAAACTTTCCCTTCTGAGACCCCATTCCCGTGCTCCAGAGAGAGCTGTTGATAGTTAACCCTGCCCCTGTGAGCTCCAGTGTGTTCTGTCTATGGCTCCCCTACCCCTTTACAACTTCCCCAAGTCCCCCTCCTTGTCGCCTGTCTGTCTCTGGATCAAACCCAAAACCAGGTTCAAAGTCCTATCCAGAAGCTTTCTCTGGCCCAGGTGGCTCTAGCCCTGTGTCCCCATCCTCTCTCTGGCCCAGGTGGCCCTAGCCCGTGTCCCCATCCTCCTGGGCAGTCTTGTCCAGCTGTAGCATAACTTGCTGACCTGTTCTTCCTGGGTCATAGGGTTCTTAACTGGGGCATGGAATTCCAAGGAATCTGAGGGAAAACTATTTCATCTTTGCGCTAACATCTAACTAAGGCTCTAGACATAGGCAACAAAGTCATACTGCAGTTAGTGGTCCCGCGGGTGATTTTGTCACAAAGGCCCTTGATCGTGGCCATCAGCCATCAGGTACGGGCACAGATCAGTTGATGCCGTTATCTCAAAATGTATCTCGAAATATTGTTTCTATCCATCACTCGTTTTGGCATTACGGTAGTTATACCAATGCTAGATCTTTAATGCATGAATAATCACCTGTATTTCTGAATTGCAACTGGCTTTTTCATATTTTTATTACTGTATTTCAAAGTAACTGGGACACCTGGGTGGCTAGGTCGGTTAATCGTCTGCCTTCGGCTCAGGTCGTGATCCCAGGGTTCTGGGATCGAGCCCCGCATCGAGATCCTTACTCAGCAGGGAGTCTGCTTCTCCCTCTCCCACTCCCCATGCTTGTGCTCCCTCTCTCGCTGTATCTCTCTCTGTCAAATAAATAAATAATAAAATCTTAAAAAAAAAAAAGAAATGGTGACTGACTTGGTTTTGGCTCAGGTCGTGATCTCAGGGTCGTGAGATAGAGCCCCAGGTTGGGCTCCACTCGGTGCCCCTTTCCCTCTGCCCTTCCTCTTGTGCTCTTTCTCTCTCCTGAATAAATAAATAAATCTTTAAGAAAAAAAGAATCCCAAGAATAGGATGACCAACTGACTGCGCCACCCAGAGGCCCCTAAGTTCTTCTTTTCAGCTTATCTATTATCTCAGGCAAAAAAGATGCAGGCAAAGCATCCCGTGATGGAAACCAAAACTACCCCCCAAGCAACAGGGACTGCCCTGATAACCGCAAGAACCTGCATGACTGACCCCACGACGGTGGTCAACCTGACCTTTCCTGCCCACCTGCAGGGACCTTTCCTTTGTCCCACATGTTCCTTATAGAAACCTGGATGAACTTTCAGCACTTTGGAGACTGTCTTTGAGACACTAGTTTGCTGTCTTCCAGGTGTCAGCCTTGTTGAAATAAATCCCTTTCTTGTTTTGCCACCACTTGTCTCTCTGCCTTTGGGTTTTGTCAGCGGCGAGTGGCCCAACCTGGTCTGTTTGGGGTCCTCACGGCCAGGTGCTCTTGCTCCCTTGGGTCCCAGTTATATCCCTGTCTTAAGGTGAAGGGAAAGAAAAAAATGGTCTAGCACCCACTACTGTGGCTTCCCTGAATCACCTTGGGAACTTTCTAAACTTCTAGGTCCATCTCCAAGTGGAATTCCTCTCTGGGCAGGAGCAGGGGTCTCTACAAGTTTTTCTTCCTGGCAGCTAATGTTTCTTGCTCCCTCTGTCACTACCTCCCCCTTGCCCTGTCTGGCAGAGGAGGTGCTCTCCAGCCCTGTGCCTCGGCTGAGGATTTGTTCCTCCCTCAGTATTCATTTATGAGCTCCTGAGGACAGGGAAGTGAGTCTTTTCACCTCCGGGTCTCACCCCTGGCTCTTTGGCTGGTGCTGGCCTCCGTGTGAAATCCTCCTTTCCCACTTGTGCCACACCCACCTCTACCCAAAGAAGTCGCTGCTACTGGGAGCCCCTGGGGGTCAAGCCCTGGGCCTCTCAACTGTTCGTCAGGCACTCGTTGGACAAATACTCTCTCCACTCCAGGTCTGCAGTCCTGTTGGTTCTATGCCTCAAATGCCCCCATCGACTTCTCTCCAGCTCTCAGCCACCAGCCTCGTCCAAGCCCCAGCATCTGTCACCAAGACTCCTACAAGGTCTCCTCATTCACCTCTCTTCCTCTCTTGCCCCTGAAATCTCTTCTCTTTGCTGCAGGCAGAGAGATCTCGAGTCACAAATCTGTTTAATCCATACCAATCCTCCAACACGGACACACTCACCTCAAAGCAGCTCAAAGTATCCCACTGCTCTCAGAAGAAGTTTGGGGCTGATTTGAGCCTTCTCCTCCTTGCTCTCTGCTCCAGCCATACTAGCCTTCTTCCAGTTCCTCAAATACTCCATCCTCCTCCCAGCCACAGGGCCTTTGCACACACATAACTTCCTCTCTTCCCACTTTGCCCAGTTGATGTCTACTCATTCTTGAGATCTCAACTCAAGTATTCCTTTTTCGGGGAATCCTCCATGGGTTTGAGACTCGGTTATATTCCCTTTTTTCACACACTAAGCCCCTGTCCCTCTTCTGCACAGCACTTATCACAGGCTATAATTAAACACTTTGTTTCATGAATTTCTTGATTTTACATCAACCTTTTTCATCAGACCGTACTCTCTAGGGAGCTAGGCCCGAGTCTGTTTCTGCCAACCCCATCAGGCACCTACATGGAGTTGACAGTCTGAATGCATGGATGAGAGCACCAGGCACTAGGGACACAGACATGAGTCAGGCCCAGCCCTGGCCCTCCGGACTCTGAGTGCCCCCATGTGGGCTGGCCCCTAGGCCCACGGTGGGCGGGCTGCCCGGCAAAGCCAACAGTGGACAGAAGAGATAAATGCTCAGAGGGCTTC